TCTCTTTCTGACTGACGTGGCGGGGCGGGGCGGGCACACACAGCGCGGCGGCCGGCGGTGGACACGGGCCGCCGCCGCCGGCCGTCCCTTTCATGTGTCGCCCCGCCCGTCCCTCTTTCCTCCCTTGAGTACCGGTCCGGTAAGCTCCCCGACCCCCAACCACGCCCGCGGGGTACTTGTGCTGCACGGCGCTGCACGCGACGGCGTTTAGCTATGTACCTGAACATTTAGCTAAATAGAAGATAACTAACTATTTACCCAAAAGGCTAACATTTAGCTAAGTTGCAAACCAGTTAGCCAGTTAGCTAAAAAATAGCTGTGTAGCTAAACAGACAAGTGTAGCTAAAAATTGAGCTACATGTAGCTAACTGTTTAGCGGCATGGCTTGGTAATTGGTTTCCCTCATTTTAGCTGTTGGTTTAGCTATGCAGCTCATCATTTTATTTCCGTGTGATTACTTTCTTTGGCCCCACTCACCGGCAATGATGACCCTGGCCGTGTGGCTGATCTGACCCTCGCCGTTCCGGGCGATGCAGGTGTAGTCGCCGATGTCCTCGTGGCGGATGTTGGAGATCCGCAGCTCGGTGCCGTCGTTGAAGATGCCGATGGTGGCGGAGATGTCGACCGGGTTGGCGTCCCGGTACCACAGGATCTCCGGCGCCGGCGTACCCTCCGCCTGGCAGTTGAGGATGATGGCATCGCCCAGGTTCACGTAGATCACGTCCTCCGGGGTAACGCTGAACCGCGGCGGGGCTGTGCGCACCGAGAAAAAGTCTCACACATTCGCTTCGGAAATAAAGACAGTTAATTTCAATGTGTTAACGTTCTTTAATGTTACTTTTAACTGAGGTTAGGTTGAAATGATTCTATAGTCAAACGCGATACTTTTGTAATGGAGATACATTTTTTTTTCTCGGGAATAAAACGATGGATTATTATAGTAAAACGTGAGAAGAAGGTTGGACGTATATATCGTACACTCGCTTTGAAAGACACAAGTTAACGAAAAATTATTATGAATTTGTAGAAAATCTAACATGCAAAAAACAAAGCAGGATTGTCTACGGCAATGTTTCTAATTGCTAATAGGCCAGAAAATTGCGATAAAAGTCACACATATGCAAAAGCAGTCGGCTGATGTTCGTGAACCAATTACGGGAAATACAAATCAAAACACACAATACCAACCAAAGGAAATGGGTTGAGAGAACTAGAAAATTGAAACGTGAGGGTCACCGGGGGGTGCGTGCACGCAGTGCACGAAAATTTAAGTTCCCTTTCCCTATTTCCGGATCAAAGCAGATCGCCACCACCCTGGTTACTTTACTCACCGTGGACATCCAGATGGTACCAGGAACCGTTCTTATGTTGGTTGGGCAACCGGTTGAAGAACACCACCTTACACTCGTACCAACCCTGGTCGCTCTCCTTGATGTTGGTGAGGTTGAGGGAGGCCAGGCCGTAGTGCGAGCCCTCGTGCACGCCGGACACCCGGCCCTTGTACGCGTCGTGGTAGTGCGGGGGGTAGTGGTCGTACCAGATGTACACAGGCACATCGAGTCCCTGGGCCAATGGGGTCAAATTCAACTTTTCTGCCTCTTTTTTCCGTATTCTCTCTAATTCGTTTTAGTGACAAGAGAGAGAGGCGAATGTCGTTCTTTTTTTCACAACAGCAATAAAAGTGTACCGTGTTATAGAACTCTTTTTTACTTCTTTTCTGATTGCACGTTTGGTAGATCGATGTTGGTGCAAGCAACGTGACGTGTGCCCACGCTGGGAGCGCGGTTATTAGTGCAATACACTGTCAAAAAATGACCCACCAACTTTTGTACACACAGTGGGCGAGACAGACAAAAGTGAAGAAAGACAGAGTGAGAAGAAGTTGAATGGGATCTGTGTGAGGGAGTCGGGATGTACAGGGCTGCGAGCATCTTACCTGACGCATGACATGAAAACTATGTTGCCCATACCGTTACACATGCAGGGTGGTCCACATACTCCTCCCGTTATTTTGCAGAAACTGTACCGGATGCATGCGTGCTGGTGAGTTGTATACAGGCACGGGGCCATAAGAGACCACGGTAAGTGACGATAGTCAAGCCCACTCGTACGGCAGCAAGCGGTAAAGTAAGCAAAATAAAGGAGGAGGTCTATGGACCATCCTGTACAACACCGATTTTTTACTCGTTCATTACCAACATCACAGCTACTTATTCGTGTTGGGAGGAACAAGTAATTGTTATCAGTTACGTGTAATTTAGAAACGCACCATCATCTCAAGATGTACAACACATGGAGACTTGTTTGCAATGCTTCTACAGACGGAACGCTTATTCTATGGCTCAAAATTAATTTGTGCTCCATGTCTATCTTGTTTTTAAATGAGCGCATTGGTTATTGAGGGGAACGCAAGCTTTTAGGTCGCAAGTGCGTCTACTTACGGCGAGGTGGCGGCTTTGGGAGGTACTTAATTAACACTTAAAGAAAAAAGTGTGTTAAAAAAATCTGCCTTTATGGTAAAATTAAATTTATCAAATGAAAGAGAATAAACAGCCAGGTCTACACATTGGGTGCTAAAAATAAGTGACATGCTCTACTCGACACACAGTCTACGATAAACGAAAACAATATTCTAGTTTAATTCTGACATACGGGTTAGTTCCGACAAGATTCGATGTAAATACAAATCTAACATACAGTGCACACATGCACACCTATACCGTGCGTCTGATATTTAGAAGACAAGATAAAATTCTTTAGGGTGACTATTGATTCTAGGAACAAATCCGATAACACGTCCAAAAGATGGTCCATTTTCTTCTTTCCTCTACCGCGCACACTGTGAGGCCTAATGTAGATAATCTAGGCAGACCAGCAGAGTCGAGGATGCTCTCAAATAATGTGCAGTGCGTCAATCGCAGCACGCATCTCATTCCCAATGCAACAACGGAATTCTCGATCTCTGAGTTCTACCCGGACGGTTTGGACTCCGAGCACAGCACACCCTCCTGTCGCTCACAGAGGTCGCCGCAAATTTTCGCAGGAGTGAAATGAATCAAAACAAAACTAGTGAAAGCTCTAAGGCGCGGGGGCGCTGCGCTCCGCTCGGGCACGACTCACCATGCACATCCAGGTGGAACCACGAGCCGTTCTTATGCTGCGCGGGCGGCCGATTGAGGAAGACAACTTGGCATTCGTACCAGCCCTGGTCAGTCTCTTTGATGTTTGTGAGATTGAGCGAGGCGCGGCCATAGCTGCTGTCCGTGGCTACCAACGCTACACGACCCTGGTAGTCGTCATGAAAGTGTGGAGGGTAGTTGTCGTACCAGATGTAGACCGGCAAGCCCAGCCCCTATGGGAGTCAAGCGAGCAACCATCGTCAGGCCAGCGACAGCGGTAGGTGTCTCGGCCTACCCGACGGGCTCGATACGGCGCGATTCAAACTAAGCAAAAGAGTCACGTGGGCGTTTCAAACCACCCGGGTCCCTTCCGAACCCCCGAAACCGCAGCCGAGCGATCGAATGGCAAATTGCGCTCGACGCTTGTTTTGATAAAATTGAAGGCCGAAATAACCGGACTAATTGTCAAAATCAAAAAAGTCGGGGTGAATTTACAAAAAAAGGCGCACGTATCAAGCCCATCGCAAAACCATTCCACAATATGCTCTGCCCCGTGTTGTACATAAGGACGGTTGTCGGTGTTAGTAGTCAGTGTGCAATGAGATATGTTAGTTACGTCCGGCTATTTAGATGGCGGTGATCGGATCTGCGACGGCGGGAGTCTTCTTCCGGTGCCGGTAATCAGACCACTCATGCATACGGCTCGAAGCTACGAACTCCAAAGTGGATACGACATTAAGAGGGTTTTCATACGAGCCAAATCCAACAATTTAGATAAAGTGAATGTGTGCCAACAATTTCAGGTAATCGAAACAATCTACAAGAAAACTTTTTTTCTTTAAACAAAACTAGTAAGGTAAAAATGTATGGGACTGGCTTTGAAAACACTCTTAGTGTCGGCCACACCGCGGTCAAAGCGCGGGAGAGAGGTCAGGCATCTGGGTTCCACGGGATTAGGGAGTGTGTTGTCCAATCGTGCGTGTTTCTGCTGAAACCCTTTACTTTCAATTTCTAAGTAATATAAATTGTTTCTTTAAAGTCCCTTTTCGTGAAACCCTTCTGTCGAAACCTAAGTTCAGCCCTCGCAAACAGCCAGCGCTCATGCTATGGGTCCGTCGTGTAGGAACCTTGACCAGCGCTGGCGACAGACATACATCCTAGTGGAAACCAAATCAAAAACATCCGACCCAAATTCTACAACCATGGCTGAGAGACCTGAGCTTCAAATGCAGGGGTAGTCTCATTCAGGCTAGACGAGTGATTACAGAAACTGGTATATTACCGCAAGCCACATTAGCTTTCGCTATATATCTTCAAGCAGTACTAAATGACTTGAGTCCCTAGTGTCGCATATCCTTGAAGAAAAGATAGAGGGGAAGAAGAAGAGGTCTCCCTCAGACAGGAAGTAGGGGGGGGGGGGAGACATGCGCAAGATATTGATAGGAATTATTTTCTACATCACAATTACTCTTATTCCTACAGCTATGACTTAGTTTAGACTTCTCTAAAATGACGAAGGAGTTGGAATGACAACTCACGTCGAAACAAGCTATACGTAGCTTCTTAATTTCCGAAGCAACCACTTCGTAAGGCCCTTGTTGCTAGGTTTTTCAATTGCACAGTAATCTCTTAGTAAGTACGAAGCATTTATTTTGTATATACAAAACTCCCCAAGCTTTTGACAGTGAATGATCTAGAAAGAGGGACACGCGCTCAGTCCTTTAGGAATTAGGAAAATGAGAGGGAGAAGAATAGAAAGAAAGATGGAGCTAGAAAGGTAGAAAGAGACAAAGACCAGAAAAAACGGATATGCGTCACTATGTCCACGAAACAGAGACAGAGCAGCCAAGAGTCAAGTCTACTGCTTGTGCAAACTGAGGGTATAACGCTAACTGCAGTGTTCAGGCCGAACCCCTCTAACCCTGCCCTGCCCTTCGCGCCGACTCTGTGACGCCATGCTGGGGCTGCGGGGAGGACCGGAGGGGACTCACCGACACCCGGCCGGCACAATCCGCCGAGCACAGCTAGCTCGCACAGAGCACTTGCTGCTTACGAGGAGTAGTGTGAAACTCTCGATTGCTATTCAGAGCGACATAGATTCGGAGCACAAAATGCTTTCAAATCAAGTAAGACCTCGACACCGCCACCTCAATCGTTCAACGGGAAATCACTTACTTGAGTTGAACACCGTACTACACCGTGCAAAACGTTCAAGTGGAACACTCAACGTTGGACACGCGCAATCGTGAAAAACACAGTGTTAAACGCTTGTAAGCCCTTTGCCAACTGGACAACTCGAGGTGACAGTGCACAAAGCAGGCAGCTGTTGAGGGGCTCCGTTGCTTTCCGGGAAGTAACCTCGGACGGTTGCCATCAAAACAGCTCTCTCCTTTGCAGGTCTTAAGAAGAAAGGACTCTGTCCCCGGAAGATGCCGCTCTAGGAGCGCAGGTGGGTCGGCTGCGCCGGCTGCGGGTGCGCGAACAGTCTCGCGGCTTGGTCCTGGACAAGGGTGAGCCCGCCTCCTCCCACGGACAGCCCCGGGCTGGGGCCCGGCCTGGGCCCGGCCTGGCCCAACACCTGACGTGGACTCACCGTGGACGTCCAGGTGAAACCAGGTGCCGTTCTTGTTCTGGTTGGGTGCTCGGTTGAGGAACACCACCTTGCACTCATACCAGCCCTGGTCCGTCTCGCGGATGTTAGTGAGGTTGAGGGACGCCTGGCCATAGCTGGACTCTGGATTGACCCCCGATACACGACCCTTGTACTCCTCGGCCGCGTGTGTCGGGTAGTTCTCATACCAGATGTACACCGGAATATCCTCCCCCTGTCGCAGATCAGGCATCCAGCGACACTATGTGCTCGCAACTCGGTGCAGACAAACACGTAATAAGGGTGGCGCACGGCAAAAAGGCCGACATCTACTTTCAGGACGGCTAGCAAGACTTGTGAGTGGGCTTTACTTTCACAGGCGAGTGAGTCGCGCGTGCCTATGCGAACTTCTCGCTGTACCGTCAAAACACAGCCCACTCTTGTCGGGAAACAGGCAGTCTCAAAAGCGTCTTATATACTGCACACCATACTGAAAATAGATGCCTGCAGATGGATATAAATTGGCATGTTGAACAACAATAAAAAAAAGCATGAGAAAAAATCAATCGATTTACGTAGTTCAATGAAATAAAGTTATGCAGTGCTTTTGAAGCACAAAGCACAATATTCTAAATTGACCTTGAAATTCAAAAGTCGTGAAAGAAGCAAATGTACATCAGGCTCTAAAAACGCCGTACAAGACATGAGAAAACACACCAATTAAACATCCACGTGAGCGTTTGCTGTCCCAACGCTAAACATGGCTGAAATCAAAAAATACCTCCATTCAAGCGCCTCCCCTAAAAAAAGTTATTTAATAATTCTACGCCATTATTAATTGATAGCTCATTGTCGTCTGCTACCTTTGTGAGAACTAAGGCTCCGACTGAAAAGCGGTTAGAGCACTCCATGAGCTTTTAAACCACTTACGTCGTCTACTGGAGCTGATAAAATAAAACCAGCATTTGATTTAGCATATTTTAAATATTAATTGTTAGCAAACAGCTGCCTTGATGTGTGAGTTGCCCAGTGGACAGAAAGATAGTGAAGTGGTTAAAGACAGAGATAGCTGAAGAGATTATTTCAAAACCAGGGTATCGAGAAATGAATGGCTAAACAAAACGCACACCAGTTAAATTAAAATTTTAAAACGGAGAAAATGTTGTTTTCTTCAATAATAAACTTCATTTTAAACCAAAGATAATGTCAATCTATTCTTGGGCCACGTTTTGATTTTCCAGGATGCAGATTAAAGGGGGGCCATAGAGTGAAAGATACTATGTCTGCGTGCGTTCGATGTGAGTTTGCGAGCCACAGGTCATGATAAAACATAACAGGACTTGATTCGCGATGTGTTGTCTGTTGGAGGTATGAAGCAACTGCTAGACTGAAGATTATCTGGAGCTAGCTACAAATGTTTTACACTAGACACCGACAACGTATATGTACACAGAGAGGGAGAGGAAGAGCAGGATAAAAGAAAAGGAAACACAGAGACAGGACAAGAAATGAACTGGGGGTCATTAAATAAGTGTACATGCCATGTAATGAGTGTACACCATCAAACGTGCAATCTTTTTTTCGTTGGATGAGTGGGAAAAATTCAAAAAATAGATAGGCACAGTGCCAAAAAATAATGTGATTGAAGACAAATAAACAGAAAAAAGACTTCGTACTCTGAATCAAGAGCTGAATAAAAACTCAGGGCTGAAAATAAAAGACCATACACACCATCACACCACATAAAATCTGTTCTCTCTCGTTGCTTTCCGAAAAATACATTTTCCTTAATAAGTTAAGCTCCTGTTAACCAGAAGTGTATCGAATCCAATTTTACATTTTCACCGCGTTTAGCGTTGGAATAACGGCTTAAAACCGGCGCCACCCTTTTACGAGAGGAACAGAGTAAAATGTGGCTGATGCGTACCGTCCCTCCTACCTTCTTCTCCCACTGGAGCACGTAGGGCACCGGGTGGTCTTCTGGGAAGTCCACGTTGCAGTTGAACACCACGGACTCTCCCAGGATGGCAGTGATGTGTTGTGCATCTTGGAAGGACAGTGCTGCAACATACAGGCAGGGTGTGTTTCAGAGAATCCTTCCGGTGCCGGGTCGGCGTATAGCGCCAGCGCCCGGGAGTTGGAAGTGTATCCGGCATGAAAAATCGAGTATGAAAAATTCACGCGCGTCGGGATAGGGTGCAGAGCTCTAGCCCCGCGGCCGAGCCAACCTCACAACAGTTGCCACCCACCCACACCACTGCCTCCCCAAAGCCCTTTCTACCCTCACAGCGAAAAACAG